ACAACAATGTACCAAAATCATGGTCAGAAAGAAAAACTGAAGGGATCAAAACAAATAAAAACATACAACTATACACACAGCACATGTAAGTATATCCTAGCCACTAGACCATGAAAGAACTGTAAGCACACATAAATATATATGTCTATATATATACATATATGATGACATTTATAAAGCTGTGGATAAGATCACAGATTTGGAGCCAGATCCCAGCTATATTAATGTGTACACATGTATAAAAGTGTAATTTCTGACAATAAGAACATGGGAGGGAGCTGAATACAAGTTAGTAAAATGAATTCAACAAATTGCAGGTAAAATATAAGATCAGTTGTTTCTATACACCAGCAATGAACAATCAATAAGGAAATTTTAAAAACAGTTCCACTTACAATACCATTCAAAAGAATAAAATACCTAGGACTAAATTTAATTTAGCGAAGGAGGTGAACAAATTATACACTGAAAATTACAACATTGCTGAAAGTAATTAAAGAAGAACTAATTAAATGTAATGGCATCCCATGTTCATGGATTGGAAGGCATATATTGTTAAGATGGTAATACTCCCCAAAGTGATCTACAGAGTCAAAGCAATCTTTGTCAAAATTCCAATGATCTTTTCTGCTGAAATGGGAGAGCCAATTCTAAAACTCAAATGGAATTGCAAGGAGGCCCAAATATTTAAAATATTTAAAGCTAAAATATTTAAAAAGAAAAACTAAGTTGGAGGACTCACACTTCTTGGTTTCAAAACATATTACAAAGATATAGCAATCAAAAATAGTGTGGTAGCAGCATTAAGATAGACATATAGATGACTGGACTAGAATTGAGGGTCCAGAAATAAACTCAAACATCTATGGCCAATTGATTTTTGACAACGGTGCCAAGACTATTCAGTGGAGGAAGAATAGTACCTTCAATGAATGTTGCTGAGACAAACAGATAACTACATGGAAAGAATGTAGTTGAACCCCTACCTCACTCCATACACAATAATCAATTCAAAATGGGTCAACAGCCTAAATATAAGAGTCAAACCATAAACCTCTTAGAAGAAAACATAGGGTAAATCTTCATGACCTCTGACTTGATACTGGATTCTTAGATTTGATACCAAAAGCACAAACAACAAAAGATAAAATAGATTAATTGGATTTCATTAAAAAATTTTAAATTTTTCACACAAAAGAATAGTATCAAGAAAGTGAAAATTAAAAAATGAAAATACAGTCTACAGAATGGAAGGAAATATTTGCAAATTACATCTGATAGAAGTTTAGTATCTAGAATATATAAAGAACTCTTATAACTCAACAACAAAAGGACAAACAACTCCATTGAGAAATGGGCAAAGGACTTGAACTGACATTCCTCCAAGGAAGATGTACAAATGACCAGCAAGCATAGGTAAAGATGCTAAACATAATTAGTCATAAGGAAATGTAAATCAAAACCACAAGCTACCACCCCATTCACACTAGGATAGCTCTAATAAAAAAATGAAAAATAACAAGTATTGATGAAGATGTGGAGAAATAGTAATGCTTACAAAAAAGCCAGACATTGGGCCACCTGGGTGGCTCAGTCAGTTAAGCATCCGACTTCAGCTCAGGTCATGATCTCATGACTCATGGTCCTGAGCCCCATTTCAGGCTCTCTGCTGTCAGGGCAGAGCCCACTTTAGATCTTCTGTCCCCCTCTCTTTCTGTCCCTCCCCTGCTCATGCTGTTTCTCTCTCTCTCTCTCTCTCAAAAATAAAAAACATTAAAAAAAATAAGCCAGATCATATATTACATGATAATTTTTATATGAAATATCCAGAATATGCAAATGCATGGAAACGGAAAGATTAGTGGTCGCTAGTAGACCAGGCAGGGGTGGGGAAGGGAGAATGGAAAGTTATTAAGTACCCATTAAGTTATGAATGGGATGGACGGATGTTCTGGGGTGATGAAAAATTTTGAAACTAGAAAACAGTGGTAGTCACATGACATTTTGAATGCACTAAATCCCACTGAATTGTACACTTTAATGAATTATGTTATGTGAATTTCACATAGCACCTCAATTTTTAATTGAGTCATAGCCTCATGTTTAGCATAATCCTTTTTTAATTTTAAAAGGGGCGCCTGGGTGGCGCAGTCGGTTAAGCGTCCGGCTTCAGCCAGGTCATGATCTCGCGGACCGCGAGTTCGAGCCCCGCGTCAGGCTCTGGGCTGATGACTCGGAGCCTGGAGCCTGTTTCCGATTCTGTGTCTCCCTCTCTCTCTGCCCCTCCCCCGTTCATGCTCTGTCTCTCTCTGTCCCAAAAATAAATAAAAACGTTGAAAAAATTTTAAAAAAAAAAATGCAGGTGGGGTGCCTGGGTGGCTCAGTCAGTGAAGAGTCCAACTCTTGATCTCAGCTCAGGTCATGATCTCACAGTTCATGAGAGAGATCAAGCCCCATACTGGGCTCTGCACTATCAGTGTGGAGCCTGCTTGAGATTCTCTCTCTCCTCTCTCTCTCTCTCTCTCTCTCTCAAAATAAATGAATAAAATTGAAAAAATCTAAAAAAAAATAAAAATAAAAAATTTAAATGTAGATATACATGAGAGAAAAATATATTAGATCATACTTCAAGACATTAAAGATGATTATCAATGAATGATGAGAAATCATATAATTTTAATTGTTTTCTCTTTGCTTAAGTTATTTTTCAAATTTTCCAACAATTTTAGAAAATAATTGTGTGCTAAATTTTTTAACAACTAGGAAAGAGAGACTATAGTGATATTGCTAATAGATTCTTAAGAGCATAAAGAAAATACCTAAGCTATAGGGTTAAGTGAGGATAAAAAAAAACTACATTGTATATGTACTTTGATTCCAGGTATTTAAAATGCACTGCTTATGGTAACAGTCTATCAGTAAGAGACAGACAAATGAGTGACATTTTTTCTTTCTACTTTCCAAATTTTCTTAATGAACATATATTACCACTATAATCAGAAAGATACTTTTATTTTTTGAATGTCCACTACTGGGCAAGCTAAGTTCAAAAAAAGTAGCTTTGAAAAATATACTTGATTTGATAAGGAGGATATTAACACTGGAATTATATATTTTTATACATAATATTCCTCATAGAAAAATCGTAAAATACAGCAAATGTAGAGATGGAAACTTAAATCACCAGATTCTAACCACTCAGAGATACTTAGTTGTTCTTTTTTTTTTAAGAAAGAGAGAGAGTGCTGTGAGAGTGCACATGTAGGGGGGATAGGCAGAGGGAGAGAGAATCCCATGTAGGTTCCACGCTCAGCATAGTGCCTAACGTGGGGCTTTATCCAACAACCCTGGGATCATGACCTGAACCAAAATCAAGAGTCAGACACTCAACTGACCGAGCCACCCAGATGCCCCTACTTAGTTGTTCTTTAAACAGAATTGGGCTTGGCTGTTTACAAAAAATTGGTCCCTCCCATCCATTATAGTGAGATCAGCAACAGAGTTTGGTTAGCAAATGTGAATCTATTATGTGCCAAGCCTGCTATATCAGGAGTGTGGCTCTCTGGACAGAGGACAGAGAATACTGAAAGGACAACTATTGGTCTTTGATTGCCCAGCACGCTTTCCCACTTCATATGGAATTGGCAATCTAATAACCTGGACTTCTTTGAACCAACCTGGACTTCTTATGATTTGGGTGGGACTGACCCCAGTCCACCCAAAGTAGGAATGACCTAGGCTTAATCAGTGATTCAACATCTAGGTCACAGTGGTTCATTAATTTAAACCAATACGTATTAGGTGCAGGACTTTTGTTAAAAACATTGACAGGAGAGGGGCGCCGTGGTGGCTCAGTCGTTTGGGCAACCAACTTCGGCTCAGGTCATGATCTTGCAGTTTGTGAGTTTGAGCCCCACATCGGGCTCTGTGCTGACAGCTCAGAGCCTGAGGACTGTTTCGGATTCTGTGTCTTCCCCCCTCTCTAACCCTCCCCTGCGCACGCTCTGTGTCTCTGTCTCTCAATAATAAATAAACATTAAAAAATAATTTAAAAAAAAAAACATTGATAGGAGAGATGAGCTTTATCACACTGAGCATTTTTGTAATTTAAAAACAGATGCTAGGGGCGCCTGGGTGGCGCAGTCGGTTAAGCGTCCGACTTCAGCCAGGTCACGATCTCGCGGTCCGGGAGTTCGAGCCCCGCGTCAGGCTCTGGGCTGATGGCTCGGAGCCTGGAGCCTGTTTCCAATTCTGTGTCTCCCTCTCTCTCTGCCCCTCCCCCGTTCATGCTCTGTCTCTCTCTGTCCCAAAAAATAAATAAACGTTGAAAAAAAAAATTAAAAAAAAATAAAAACAGATGCTAAAAATCCCTAAGAAAGAAGGTGTGATGATGAATGGGTTACTGTATGGATTTAGTAGGTAGTAGTCGTGCTCTCTTACCGTCTTGTGTATCCCTCTACCATGGCGCTTACCAGACTGGATCCTGATCACTGCTGTTTCTGTCTCCTCCACCAGACCATCAGCCCTCTGAGGGAAGGAGACACATCTCTAATACGTTTGAGCATACAGACAAGGGTCTACATACACTTCTACTAAAGAAATTATCCTCATGAACTTAGCAGCAGCATGGAAATGAGGCATTGGTGGTCTTATCACTGGGGATTCAGGTTTCTGGACTCTAGTACGTCTACAGGTTGATACCACAACCTTCAGCCCCAACCTGGTACCTTTGGTTTCCTATTCCGGGAGGAACAAGTGGTCAGGTCTGAGTCAACTGGTGTGGGTTCTGATGTGGTCACAGCACGATTCTCACACAACCACCCAGGGAACACCATCAGACAGAGGGAGTGGGGGCAGGGAAGCTTTCGTAGAAAGCCATCGAAGATGAAGCACCACAAAACCAGAGGGGAGTTCAAGGTCAATGAGCCCATCTCCACCCGCTTCCTCTGATGGGAGCTAAAAGAGAGCACAGAGAAAGCACCAGCACCTCTGACCTGAGCAGCCTTCCTGGGAAGATGCAGCCTCTCCTGCTCCTGCTGGCCTTTTTCCTGCCTTCTAGGGCAAAGGCAGGTGAGTGACCACCACAACCCTCAGAGGCCTGACCCCATCCCACCGTGGGTAGAGCTCTCCTGCCCCTTCTGCACACCCCTGATCCATCTATCCACCAGGAACATTCGGAACCCCAGGCTTCATCCTGCCTCACACTCTCAAGTATGATGCTGAATTAGCTACCAGCAGGAATGGCCAGGGCAGAAGGCTGGTCTCCAGAAGAGCCAGGGGATACTGTCCCCTCCCCAGGCTCTACCTTTGCCATCTGGAAATGGAACTTTCCTAGCAGAGGATGAGAACTAGAAGAGAACATAATAAATCCCCCTGCAAAGGGAAGAGTAGGCCTGGCTTCCGAGTGAGATGAGCCAGGTGCTTCCTGAAGCATCTGCTTGGGAGAGAAGCCCGGGGCTCAGCTGCATCCAGAGTTCGTGGGATCACTGTCCCCACAAGATTGCTGTGGCCTTTGCTCTGTCCCAAGTCTCCTCATCCCTTTCTCCAACTCTGCTTTTCTTCCCAGCGTGTTAGTGGCTCTCCTCTTTCACTTATTTGGGTCCTTTCCTTTTTCTTTTTTATCAAACTGGCTAGTGGTTTATCAATTTTGTTATTCTTTCAAAGAACCAGCTTCTGGTTTCATTGATCAGTTCTACTGGGGGTTTTTTTGGTTTCAATAGCATTGTTTTCTGTTCTGATCTTTATTATTTCCTGTCTTCTGCTGGTTTGGGGTTTTATTTGTTGTTCTTTTTCCAGCTCTTTAAGGCGTAAGGTTAGGTTGTGTATCTGAGATCTTTCTTCCTTCTTTAAGAAGGCCTGGGTTGCTATATACTTTCTTCTTAATGACCACCTTTGCTGCGTCCCAGAGGTTTTGGGTTGTGTTGTTATCATTTTCATTGACTTCCATGAGCTTTTTAATTTCCTCTTTAACTTCTTGGTTAGCGCATTCATTCTTTAGTAGGATGTTCTTCAGTCTCCAAGTATTTGTTACCTTTCCAAATTTTTTCTTGTCGTTGATTTCGAGTTTCATAGCATTGTGGTCTGAAAATATGCACGTTATGATCTCAATCTTTTTGTACTTTTGAGGGCTGTGGCTCTCCTTTTTCAAAGATGAGCTTGGAAGACCTAAACTTCCCTGCTTTCCAGAATCCTACCAGCAGTAGCCCTACCGACCCTCCTCCAAGAGGCTCACTGGGGAGCCACACCTTCAGGCAGCCAACCAACACTTACTAGGCACCTGCTCCATGTCATGCCCTAGCAAATAGACTATGTCAGACACCATCTAGATCCCTAAACTTAAGTCCTAGCCACTGGAAAAGCAGCAACATCCTAGACTTCACAGGATGACAGGGGCCTTAGAAACTCAGTTGAAACAAAGCAAAGTCAGGAAAGGAGTTTTCAGGAGCCTCTAGAACTTGGCTATCCCAAAGACAGGTATGCTCACCTCCAATTATATGTAGAAGATAGATTCACAGACCAAGACTACTACCCATCCCTTTCCCAGAGGAGGAAGTTGAGGCCCCCTCCATGGCCCTCCCAGATCCAGGCCACGCCTGCTCTGTGGATTCAGTGGGTACATGGGAGCAGAACAGATTTTTCCTTCAGGGGAGATCATCGGGGGACATGAGGCCAAGCCCCACTCCCGGCCCTACATGGCACATCTGTGGATCCAGAATAGGGAGGTGTGCAGTAAGTGTGGTGGGTTCCTGATACAAGAGAAGTTCGTGCTGACAGCCGCTCACTGCTGGGGAAGGTGAGGAGCAGCAGCCAGCACAGCCTTGAAAAGCCCAGCGGGGAGCCCTGCCTTCTGCAATGGGAGCTCCCAGGGCTCCAAGGAAGACAGGAGTCAGGAGGGCTCCTGAAAGGGAGTGAGGGAGGGCCGTACATTGTGGGGAGAGGGGAGGCTGGAGCTAGGGGCATTGCTGAAGAGCCGGGGCCTGCATTGACCTCTGAATGCAAAGTCATGCAATTTCACATGTTTCTCTGGGGAACTGTCCCCTGAGAACCACCGGCATGGTCAGCAACGGCTCCAGAATCCTACCTCAGCTACTGAGAAGCAGAAGGCACAGACAGCTCAAACCTGGGCCCTTCTGTTGCCTCAGTTTCCCCTCGGCTCCAATCCTGCCCACCCCAGCTGCCACCTGCCCTCATGGATCCTGGGCTAGGTCCTGTGACCCCACACCCCCACACCCCACTCTGCTCTCGTGCAGCTCCATCAACGTCACCCTGGGGGCCCACAACATCAAGAAGCAGGAGAAGACCCAGCAGATCATCCCCGTGAGAAGAGCCATCCCCCACCCAGACTATAATCCAAAGAACTATTCCAACGACATCATGTTACTGCAGGTAAGGAGACCTCCCCACTGCCCTCGCTCTCCTGGGTCCACATTGTCTCCTCTCCCACTGGGACCTGTCCCCTCCTTCATACCTGGCCTGGCCACCTGACCAGTCTCAGTGGCTCAGGGGAGAAGGAAGACAGGGCAGCCGCATAGAGTACCTGGGCCCAGAGACCACTGACTGAGCTGGCCCCTCTTGCTTCTTTCCATCAGCTGGTGAAAAAGGCCAAGCTGACTGCAGCTGTGAGGCCCCTGGGCCTGCCCAAAGGCAAGGACCGGGTGAGGCCGGGACAGGTGTGCAGTGTGGCCGGCTGGGGACGGGTGGCCACGGGAAGATACCCAGACACACTGCAGGAGGTAGAGCTGATCGTGCAGGAGGATCAGGAGTGCAAATCCCGCTTCCCCAATTATTACAACCACAAAACTCAGCTCTGCGTGGGAGACCCAAAGGAAAAGAAGTCTTCCTTTAAGGTGAGCGATGGATCCAAACACAGTGCTACTCCAGAAGGAGGAATTGGCAGCACTCTGCCCCGTGCCAGGGCACCGATGTTAGAAAATTGTGCGCCCTGGGCGTGCAGTGGTGAGAAAAACAGGGGGCTCCTCATAGCTGGCACCCACCTGGGGTACTGGGCTCCTCCTCCATGCTGAGGAGCAGCCCCGCCCACCTGCTTTGGGGGAGGGGGGCCTAAAGAGGAGTGAAGCCAGCAGTCCCCAGCAGAGGATCTGGGACCAGGGGAGGAGAGGGAGCTGCCACCTGGGGTGAAGTGAAGCAGGGACCATGTCCAGGCCTGCCCTGCCCTCAGAGTTCCTGACTTCCCGTGAAGGCCACGCAAAGCACCCTTCTCAAAGGGGCTGGGGAGGGCGGTGTGGGGGGTGAGGTTGGGGAGTGGGCACAGGGAGGGCAGGGACAGCAGGAGAGCTGGCTCACTCCTTCCCCATCTCCGTCCACAGGGGGACTCTGGGGGCCCTCTCCTGTGTAACAATGTGGCTCAGGGCATCGTCTCCTATGGACTAAAAGATGGGGCATCTCCACGGGCCTACACTAAAGTCACAAGTTTCCTGCCCTGGATAAAGAAAATGATGAGAGGCCTCTTCCTGCAGGAACCAGACTATTTGCTCTGAAGCTGATCTAGAATCACACTGGGGAGGGTGGGAGGGAAGGTGCCAGCTGTCAAATAAATGTCTCTCAACTGAGTGTGAAGGGCTGGTTTCTTGTGTGTGTTTACCGACCCTCTTTGCCTGGCATCCACTCTGTGCTTAGAAGGCCAGTGACACAATTCTGCTGTTTTCTGCTTGCTCTTCTTCCTCCTCCCCCCACCTCCCCGCTCAACCCCATGAAAAGTTCCTTCCAGCTCCCTCTCACCCACACCTGTCTCCCCAGAGCCTGCCCTTCTGCCAGGGCTGAAGCTGGGCACCATCAAGAGAAAGCATGAACCTCTCTGGTCCTGGAGCTCAGGGTGAAGTTCTTACCTCTTTCCCCTGTGTTCTCTGGCAGGGAGGAAGGATAACAACATGGGTCCTAGAAACCACGCTTGCCCAGTCTTGGCTGTGGCCCAAGGACATAGTCCCCCACTGGGAAGTGGAAGGACATTTCTCTCCCACAAACAAGGATGCTGGCACAGAGTGGGGCTGGGTCTCTTGAGTAGCTCTTGATCCTCATCTCGACTGAGTTCCCTTCCCTGACCTCTTCTGAGCTCAGGGGCCAGCTCAGCCTCTAGTCTCCTGGCTGCCCCTTCTTCTCCATACCTCAGAGTGCTCCAAACCCCTGGGAGTGTTCAGTGGCCACAACTCCTGCCCCCTCCAGACAACACTGATCTGAGCCGGCCCCTTCCTCATATCCCTTCCACCTAGAACACCCAGAATTCCAACAGGGCCTTGCCACTGAGATGTCAGCCCAGTCCACGCCCTCACAGAGAGGGGCATCAGAGGCCCCTGCCCTGTGAGGGCACCAGGCAGGGTCCATGGAGGACAGGGCTGGCGGGTGGCTCTCCAGAACCCTTGGCCCCATCGATCACCTGGGAAGGGCCAGCTCAACTCCTCACATCCAGCCCAGTGTCGCCCCATGTGCTCAGGGTCCACTGGCTGTCTAGTCACTCCATAGCCTAAGTCCCTCTCCACCTGTCCCTCTTGTCACTGCCAGCCTCTAGGCTGAGACTCCCTGCTGGCCACCCTGGGCTATATCAGTCTTTTGAGTTTGAAAGGGCTCTTCGCTGCAGTAGGACTGGAAAGCACAATATTTTCCATCAACCAATAAACAAATGCTGATTGAGCACTTACTAAGTGTCAGGCATTGACTGGGGACATGAAGGAAACATAATGCAGGCTCTATCATTTGAGCCCAGGTGAATCCGACACTGTTGAATTTCACCCGAATCATCTAACCCCTTCTCCCTCCTTCACACCTGTCCACACGACCTACATCTCTATGGGAAGTCCACCTGAATCAAGAATTTGTACTTTTTTATTATTGCTGGTCACAGTCTGTATAAATATTATCACATGTGACTCTAGAACAGCAGTGCATAGATTTGGAAATGACTTTAGTCATTTAGCGTCTAGACATGAAGTTACCAAACTCTGTTTACTGTAACACCCTCTATACCTAGGGGACATTTGCTTCAAAAGCAGCAGGTATGAATGTCATTGCATAGATTCAAATGGTAGAAAAAAACCACATTATATATTTGCCCAAAGGCAATTTAAGCTTAAGTTAAACACCCATCCAGTTGGACGGGCCAGTAACGATCCCAGTCATGACTGCAAGACCCTTCCTGTGCAGACTCAAACTAGAATCAGGGAGGCTCACGTGGTCTGGAAAAATGGAGAACCACCACTGCCCTTTAGGCCCATGGTTACGTAGTTGCATCCACAGACCCCAAGACTGCCTAGACTTTTCCACATTTGGTAGTTTGTGGCTTGGAGGCCACGACATAGAGGCTTAGATGTGATTTTTTGCTGAACGAGGATCTCCCTATGCTGGGCTTACCTCACCAGACACCAGCAAGAGCCATACCACCAAGGTCTTACCACTAGTGTGGGCACTGCCTGGGACCTGGGCCTAAGGTCCCAGCTCTGGGCTGATGGTTTAGCCTGCACCAAAAAACCTGCACCAAAAATACACAACACCATCCTCTTTTGTGACATGGGGTAAACACTCTGGGATCATGTAACCCTCAAAGGCATGCCCTTTCACATCTTATGCACAAAGCCTGAAGCAACACAATCTTTTAACGACCTCAAGTACTTTTGCAAGGGAAGAGCGATGAGATCATACAGCTTCTGATTTGGAGCTAAAAAAAAAAATCCCTGCATCGAACACATACTAAGGACCTGGTTCCTTGATTAACAGAGACAAAAGGAGGGGCGCCTGGGTGGCACTATCAGTTAAGTGTCTGACTCTTGATCTCTGCGCAGGTCATGACCTCACGATTTGTGGGTTCATGAGTTTGAGCCCCACATCGGGCTCTGCACGGATGGTACAGAGCCAGCTCGGGATTCTGTTTCTCCTTCTCTATGCCCCTCCCCCACTTGTTCTCTCTCTCTCTCTCTCTCTCTCTCTCTCTCAAAATAAATAAAGTTAAAGAAAAAAAAGGAAAAGACAAAAAGGAAAATGCAGAAAGCAAAATTAAAAATAGTATTCTTTAAAGTTGCCCAGCCACCTGCATATTCAGTTCACATAGTACAGCTGCTTTGAGGAAATGGTTCTGTGGTTTAAAACAAGCTTGAGAACACTTGCTGTAGTCTCTCATCCTCCCTCAAGAGATGAGGGAGAGACAAAGTACCAGAAACAGATCATAACTGACTAAAGGGACCAGAGTTAGGACAGAACCTGGACTGAACCCAGGCCCCCTGACAGCCAGGCCAGGAAGAAGCCTTACATGACGGGGGTGCCTGGGTGGCTCAGTTGGTTAAGAGTCCAGTTCTTGATTCTGGCTCGGGTCATGACTTCAGGTTCATGAGATCAAGCCCCAAGTTGGGCTCTGCACTGACAGCATGGAGTCTGCTTGGGATTCTCTCTCTCTCTCTCTCTCTCTCTCTCTCTCTCTCAAAATAAATAAACATCTTTCTTAATTTTTCTAAAAAGAAGCCTGACATGTTTTCTAATGCCCAGTCTGTGATGAATTATCAGCAACCCTGAACAAAAGATGAGCTTCTGCTCAGACACCTCCCTGGAGAAAAAGCCTGTAGGCTCCTGTGGCAGCCATTCCTTGACAAGTATTCAAAACATCTGCCTTGGTAAAGCTGCAGTCTATTCATGGGCACATTCGGATGCAAGCAGGTGAGCACCTTAACATGCCAATTCCTTCAAATCTCCTTTGTCTGGGGAAATATCCCTCAACCCCCAACTCAGAGGAAACAATTCTTCCCTTGCTTAAAAATCTCTGTGATGAAAATTAAGAAATAAAACAAAATAAATTAACTCTGTAAAGACCTCAAGGAAGTGCCCCTCATCCCCAAGATCTCCTTTCACTACCCTTCTTTCCCCACACACCCACCAGAAGAGTCAGGCCCCAGTGTGACTGGAGAGAGAAATTCAAAGCCAGCTTCTGGTGGGGGATAGGCCTGACGAATGCCAAATCTTGCTCATTTGTTTGAGGGACAGGCATTGGGATGGCTCGGCCTTCCATTACCACACTTGTGGACTTAGAGAACTTACAGCTTTATTACCAATCTGTATCGCACACGACACTGCTTTTGACCAACCAATATATTTCACCACGAGAGAAGGGCAGCCATGGGTTCCTTTTCATCACAGGCCTATTACTGGATGGCATTTCTCATCCCCAGAGTCAGGAACTTCAGTGAGTCTCAGGTAGGACAAGGAAAGCCACATCTAAGCACATAATAGTCAAACTGGTATCTGATAAAGATCAAAAAATGAAAGTAGAGGGGAAAAGAAGATACATTACTTTACAGGAAACAAGAAGCATAACAACGAGCTTCTTCCAGATAATAATAGAAGTCAGAAGACAGTCAAATAACATTTTTTAAACAGTTGAAGGGAAAAAAAAGAAACAGGCAACGTATTTCTAGAATTCAACCTGGAATTCTAGATCCAGTGAAAATATTATTAAAAGTACAGGCAAAATGACTGTTATTCAACATAGTATTGGAAGGCTTAGCCTCAGCAATCAGACAACACAAAGAAATAAAAGGCATCCAAATCGGCCAGGAGGAGGTCAAACTTTCACTCTTTGCAGATGACATGATACTCTATATGGAAAACCCTAAAGATTCCACCAAAAAACTGCTAGAACTGATCCATGAGTTCAGCAAAGTCGCAGGAAATAAAACCAATGCACAGAAATCGCTTGCATTCTTATACACCAACAATGAAGCAACAGAAAGAGAAATCAAGGAATCCATCCCAATTACAACTGCACCAAAAACCATGAAGTACCTAGGAATAAATCTAACCAAAGAGGTGAAAAATCTATACACTGAAAACTACAGAAAGCTTACGAAAGAAATTGAAGAAGACACAAAGAAATGGAAAAAGATTCCATGCTCCTGGATAGGAAGAACAAATATTGTTAAAATGTCAATACTACCCAAAGCAATCTACATATTCAATGCAATCCCTATCAAAATAACACCAGCATTCTTTACAGAACTAGAACAAACAATCCTAAACTTTGTGTGGAACCAGAAAAGACCCTGAATAGCCAAAGCAATCTTGAAAAAGAAAACCAAAGTGGGAGGCTTCACAGTCCTGGGCTTCAAGCTGTATTCCGAAGCTGTAATCATCAAGACAGTATGGTACTGGCACAAGAACTGACATTCAGATCAATGGAACAGAATAGAGATCCCAAAAATGGACCCACGAACATATGGCCAACTCATCTTTGACAGAGCAGGAAAGAATACCCAATAGAATAAAGACAGTCTCTTCAGCAAGTGGTGCTGGGAAAACTGGACAGCGACATGCAGAACAATGAACCTGGACCACTTTCTTACACCAGACACAAAAATGAACTCAAAGTGGATGAAACCTCAATGTAAGACAGGAAGCCACCAAAATCCTCGAGGAGAAAGCAGGCAAAAACCTCTCTGACCTTGGCCACAGCAACTTCTTACTCAACACGTCTCCAGGGGCAAGGGAAACAAAAACAAAAATGAAC